TATATATATATATATATATATATATATCTTCAAACGACACTTTTTTTGACCATGTTGTTAAATTTTGAATTGTTTATTCTTTCTTTGTGAATTAAACCAGTTGGGGTAGAAATTATCGATTAAATATTTTAAAGCAATCAAACCTACAAGATGCACAACGGCGACGAACGACGGGTAGCACACCCGGATGCTCAGTATTGGATTTCCCATCTTAAGCTCCAGCCTCACCCGGAGGGTGGATTTTTTCGCGAAGTCAGCGTGTCTAACTACATTGTCGCTAATCAGCATAACAAGCATCGCTTCGCTTACACCACAATTTACTTTATGATTACCGGCAAAAGCCCTTCACATTTTCACCGCCTGTGCTCGGACGAGATGTGGGCTTGGCACGCCGGTGACCCACTCGAAGTGCATGTCATCTACCAAAATGAGGACGATGACGATCTTATCACCTTACAAGAGGGCAACACGGCTGTGGAGGTGCCGAAACTAGACCCAGAGCACATGCCAGCGAACACTTCGTTTATTCCTCCGCATGTGCAGGGACGGCGGGAGGCATGCGCGAAGGAAGGCTCCAATGACGCCTATCGGCGGTATCGCTGTGTAAAAATAGGACCCCGCGTCGAACGAGGCGAGTGCTTGCAGTACACCGTACCTGCCGGGGCAATCTTTGGGAGTGTACTCGCACCGGGTGGCGAAGCGGGGTACTCGCTTCTCAGCTGTGTGGTGAGCCCTGGTTTCGACTATCGCGATTTTGAGCTGTTCACGCAAGAGCAGCTCATGGTTTTGTGTCCCCAACACGAAGAGATAATTCGGAAATTGGCGTACGAGGCTCTTCCGTCAGCTTGAAGCATCCGCTTTTGCTTGTTTTTTCCCCTCATTTCATACAATAACGATATTAAAAAATATACACGTGGATAAAAAAGTGTGTTCGTAAAAGTAGCATGTAATGCATATCATACGCTCCTTGAGGATGATATTATATTTTTTAGGGTGATCTACATCCATAATATATAAATATAAATATATATACAATCACACAAATCAATAGTGGAGCTGTTTTTTTCCATCTTATTGCAGCATAGCGTTGAGTATTTGTTTATGCATGTGCGCGAACTACTTGTGTTGATGGACTGATGTCTCATATTGTTGATTCGTATGTTAGCTCCTTACCCACTCTACACACTTACTCCAAAAATACTAATAGCAAGCTCTTTATATACTGACCTATTATCATTTTTGCTGTTCGACTATAGCATCTGAATAGCTATTTTTTTCATAAGGAGTCGCAGATATAAAGACTGAGGCTTTCATTTTTACTTTTAGTGAAATTGTACACACAAATATAGTTTTATAAAGCAAGCAAAGAGCGTATTTCCTCTTTTTAACTAATGCAATACGTAATGCCTTGCCACCGAAGGCTAAAGTTTTACTTTTTTTTCCTCATTTTGTCTTGGAGTATTTTTTGCTCGTCCCTTGTTTCTGGCGAGGATGTGTCGGACGAAATCACGATTAATGGAGCCACATTCTTTTGGGATCGAATATTATCAAAAAATGAATTGAAACTTCTTATTCATAAAGGCATACTGAAATCTATGCAAGAGGCAGTCGATGATCCCAATATTACGATTGAAATAAAAAATCTGAATACCTCAGGACCCAGACTTCGAATTTCGTATATATCAAACGATGTTACTAAGACGAAACCGGATGCTTTCATTACCAAACCAGTAACACACATCAATCTCATGATTGAAGAAATTCTCAAGAGAGCAGATTTGGATATATACACTGCCACTGTACCCAAAAAATACTTCTTCGGAAAGGTATTGGGGCCTCGACCGAATCATACGGAAACCTTCAATACTACTGAGGCCAATTTTGACATGTTTATGTCAGGCCGGTACGAGGACTGGGTGAATATTTTAACAAAAGCTTCTAAGGAACTATCTATTGCAGTAAGGGATAGCGTGATGGTGACGCTCCGACGGCTGAACGGGGACGTTGAGGTGAAGGGCATTCACTTCTTCCCAGAGCATAGGAGACTGGTGGTGGATAAAAAAGGGGTTACGGCTGGCATGCGTGTGCGTTTTCACACCATTCAGACAGCACACCGAAAGAATCTCCACCTTTACGATGCATTTGAAGCGGGTAGCGTTCTGGGGGTGCTAAACAGCAGTAAAATCGAAATGATTTACAGGAAGTACGCCAGTCCTGAGGAAGCTAAAGCAAATATTTATGTCATTGCAGTCCGTGATGTACCTCTCAAAGATATGAATATTTTTCAAGAGTACCACCTTTTATTCTATGCTTTGGCGCTAGACATTGCCTTGATTATAATTATTGGTCTAATCACAACTTTATGTATGTGCCTTATGACGAGAAAATCTCGAAAGAATAAAACGTCAAGAGCTTGAATCGAATATGTGATAAATTTATTTTGAATTATTAATACTTTTTTAAAGAAAAATAACAAATGTAAAGATAGATAGGTAAGGAAATTTTCTCATAGGTTTTTTTTTTTTTGATACTAATTTATGATTTTGGGGCTGAAAATACGGTTGAGTTCTTGTTTTTACTCATGTTTTTATTTAACCCTGAGTGTGTCTTCCATTGAAAGGTATTTTTCACTTCCTCTGTATTTTCCTCAACATTTCAATAGGGAACATCAACTGTAAAATAAGGAAGGTGGGGTGTGAGGATCCGGTAAGAATGGATCAGGCCTTGAAGTCTGCCGACACCATCAATGCGGTTTTCAAACGTTTAGGTGTGCCCTGTACGGTCCACGTGGATGATCGAAATGGTAAGTATGTAACCGCGACATCAGATCTTTCAGAGGGAACAGCACTTGTCGAGGAGTTGCCCATCGTATCGTGGCCTACAGCTGCTGGGCGCGCCAACTGCACGAGTGGCTTTTGCTTTCACTGTTTATGCCAGCACCGAGCCGGGGAGGGCACCTCGATCCCGGAGGACGCAGAGGCTCCGTCAGCTTGCCTCAGGTGGAGCCGATGTGGGGCGTGTGGGTCGGATTTCTGCGGGAGTGCGTGCCGCAAGGCGAGCGACCGCGTCCACACGCTGCTGTGTAATGCTCTCGACGCCTTGCGCTCGCCTTTGCCGCATTCTCTGGATCACGTCTCTCCCTCTCTTTCTTCTCCGCCCGACTCTTCCCCTTCCACTAGGGGTGCTGAGCAGGTGGAGCAGCCCATTACGAAAGAGGCGCTCGCCCGCTGTGTGGCCTGGGTCCTCGCACGTGTCGCGGCCATCATCGAGCAGCAGGAGCTCGTGCACAATGTCCTGCAGGCGGACTATGTTGCCTATCACGATAGCACCCCACATAGTCTCGTGCGCCAACTCTTTGTGCAGGCCGTGGAGCCCTTCAATCGGTTGATAGCGACTCCTGATGAGACTAAGTTTGTCGGTGTGGACATGGAGGAGTGGATCGAAGCTGTACGGTGTGCTCTGAGGGAACGCGGCCGTTCCATGCTGCTGCGCTCTGCAGGTTGCTCCACTCCTCATCACCCAAGTGCACCTCCTGCATCGCATGCCTCCGGTGCCGACGGCCAGGAGAGTGGGCGGGGGTGGTGGGCGGATGCCCTTCTCGATGGTTTACTCAGTGTGTGTACACTACGCACTTTATTGGGCCAACTCACACTCAACGCCCACGCTATCAACGATTATGTCATCTGCTCTGACGTTGGGAGCGGGATTAACAGCATAAGTGGGCAGCACACCGAGGTGGTGCAGCAACCCGCGGCGTCCCTGTCGTCGGTCTCTCCGCCTCCTCGCCCTATTTTTCGCTGGTTTGTCAAGGGTGCCGCGGTGTATGCACTACTTTCTTGCGTTAATCACTCGTGCGACCCGAATGCCGCCGTGTATAGTTTGGGGGACAATACTCACGAGATTGTCCTCAAGACAACTCGAGCGATTACACGTGGTGAGAGCATTTGCATCACATATATCCCATTGCACGACAGAGTGAGTGGGAAGAGATTATCGTGTGCAGAACGGCGGAAGATGCTGGAGGGGTACTTCTTTACCTGCCAATGCACCCGCTGCGCGGCGGAAGAAGCATAGACCACTTCCTCATCGATCTTCTCGCTGCATGGGCCTAGGCGCTGTTAGAATCGCCATTATCATAATTGATGGTTCGCTATCGGACTCTTTACTGCTTCCCTGCGTCCACCGCAGCTAGAGAAAAGGCCGATAGTACATTATTCGAAAGCGCAAGGCGAAGGCACATGCTTCCTTTCCTTGTTAATACCACTTTTCGCGATAAATCCCCTTCCGGTTCTCTGACGTTACGTAACTGGTATAAATGTGATTAATCTTAATTAAATCGCTTCACAATCCCCCCCCCTCCCCCCCCCCCCCATTTCTGAACACGGACTGTGTAAATGCGTTGTTGGATTAGCACATTCCACGCAATGGGGGGTTCGACCCTGTTCATTTGTCTTCCCGGAGTTATCCCTTTCTTTATTCTTTTCTTTCTTCTTTTTCTCTCCGCCTGACGTTTTCACATACTCTCAAGACACAGAAGCTTTGGTGTGCTGGGAAGGGTGAGATGCAGGTCCGCGTGGCTCAGATTTTCACACTGGGCTCCCGATCGCGTCTGGGCACGGGGGTGGACCTGCCACGCCACGGCGTGTGGGGTGGGGGTCGACGGGCCTACGCAGGGGGCTCGCCAGCCCTGCCAGGAGGGGGTCTTCCCACTCCCCGCTTTCCTTCGGGAGGCCCCTCAGAGGGGGCTGGGAGGGCCGGCCGCGACGTGGGCTCGCGTGGGGGGGGAACCCCCCCTCGGGTCGCACCCCGCCCCGCTGCCGCGGGGCCGTGGAAGGTCAAGCGGCGACCCCCGTGGGGTGTCCAACAGCTCCGCGATTCCTGGAGCGAGGATGCCATGACGAAGCGGGAGACGGAAAACCTCAGTGAGCGGATTCACCGCGAGTACCGCTACCACCCCGACGAGGGTCGCCGTCAACATGTCAAGCACGTCGTCCTGTTGTTGATTCCGTCGCTTATTGGGACCGGCAGCATGTCGTATTATTACTTCACCGGCAAGCCGATCTGGCGGGCGGACCCGCAGCACATTCTTAACGTTCTGCGCGCCGCGGACACATCACCAAGGAGTATACTCTATTTATATCGACTGGATGAAAATGAGGTAACCCCGACGCATGTTATACGCCACCGCGAGGCTCATCGGGGGGAGCGGGAGAGGGCGGAGTTAATCTTTAAGATCACTCGCTCGGCATTCGCGCAGCCTTCGAGCGATGACTTGCGACGACTGGAGGTAGAATGGCGTGAAAAGGAGGAAATGATGCGTCAGGAGGCATCCGAGGAGGTGGAAGATGAGGGTCCATAGGGTGGTTTTGTATTTCTTGGGAATATTTAACAAAGAGCGTAAAGAGAGAAACACTACAAACACATGCCAAAAAATGAGGGAACCAGGTATTCTTTCCTCATTAAACAAATTGCTTTTCACTTGAAAAGGGAAGGATGAAGTGAAGGCTAGTGTGCCTGGTTGGTGGAGTCCCTGGGTTCGTTACAATCCCTTTACATGCCTACATATTTGAATTGATTGCGCACTACGTTGGCGCTGTAATTTCTCTGATTCTTTTGGCCTCTTCATAACTATTTATTCTTTGGGATGTCATTTTTTCTTGTGTACCCCCTCGAGAGATAAGACAGCCAAAGTAGTAGTGATGTGTGAAGCCTTTTTTTAGTCGAGAAGCTGCATCAAGCTCATGCAAGGGTGAACCAATGCATTGAATATGTGTATTTATACTCACATATGTTTTTATGGCATCTATAATTTGCCATCATGGGATATAGGGTTTTTCACTTTGCATATCTCCATCCGCATGTGTCCTTGTCAGATCCATTTTCTATATTCTTATGTAGGTTTAATATCTTTACCTTTAAGAATATTAGGTGTCAAAGATATCCTTTAGTTATTCCTTTGATTTTTGATAGCCTATGTGGGATTCTTTACCGCCAGTCACTGCTACTCAGGTTGGTATGAATATCCCTGGCATTGCTGATGTGCGCAAGATCAGTTCCATGGGACTCTTCGAATACAAAGCGTTGAGTTCTTTGGGAAAAGACGAAACTGGAAGTTCTGGCGTTGAAAACGGATCTAACACTTTTTCTGGTTCGCCTCGACTTCGACCTAGTAAAATTGAAGGAGTTGTTTTAGATAATCCAAGAAATACCATTGCGATGAATGGGAGACTTCGCGAGGATATTACACCCAATAGGGGAGGGTCTTTGAGCCCTGCTACTTCGCCAGCATTGCTCCATCATATGGGCAGTGCGGACACTGACGCTGGGGGCGGACACCACTCAGAGCTTTCGTTTCCAATGCTATCGTCAATGGATAGCATTGAAATCGTACGAGCGTTCAACTCTGTCACACAGACAGTTCCCGCTCCCCGTAGAGAGACCCCGAGAGGGGTGCGCACTGGGTTAGATGCAACTATGAGGCCGGGTGAAGCGACCCATCTCGGTGTTCCGCCACACACCCGGGGCACTCATACCGGACAGATCGACGACCCCAACCCAATCCTAGGCCAGCGTGTACCAGGGATGTGCCCCATCTCTGCGTGGGAGGGCAGTTTCAGAAGGGAATCCCATGCCGCTCCCGCCGTGCCACCTCCCTCTGTACATTCTGCGCCTTACCGACAGCCGCGCGTCTTAACTGACGAAGGGTTTATCAGCCGACCCGCGAGTGAAGGTTTGCGGGCTCACACCCGTCCAACCCCTCCTTGCCCTGCCCCGACATTGGAATCCAAACACCCACCCAGGGCGGAGGTTCCTCTCGGTGCCCTGTCCACGATGGCGATGAAGGACATGCTCCTCATGTCTAGTCAATATGGTCCCTTTAGGGCCCCAACGTATCCGGCCGGTCCAGCCTTTGATACGGTAAGGGCATCCACCACCACCACGACGGCTACGGCGTCGACGCAACCCACCCATGCTGTGAGGCCTTCAAGCTCGGCGATGCGGCGTCTTTCGCTGCAGGGACCGCCCCCTTCGTCTTTTTCTCCCCCTTCTCCATCCAAGCGGAATGGCAGCACGGGGCCCAGTCGAGGAAGGAGGGGACCTTGCCCTCGCGTGAGTCGGGGTTCTGCGCAGGGTTCACATCCTCAGACCGGGCCGGGTGGCTTAGACTCCTTGCATTTTCCCGAAACTGTGATGAGGACGACTGTGACCACTACGGAGGCGCCGCCCACCGCGGGTGGCAGTTCCTCCCTGCAAATCACAAGCGCCGAGGTCCGGCAAGTTTTCGAGGCGTTTTGCGCTCGCTACGAGTCCTATCAGCAGCATAAGAAGCGATTCATTGAGGCCTACCTGGGTAAGATCGAACAAGCAGTCGACCAGTATCTTGCACAACGTTTTAAACCAAAAAAGCTTACCGACAACGTCCTCAGTAAGGCGGGCGAGAATATTTTAAAGATGGGTGCTAAACTTTTCAAGACTGCCATGAATGCTAAGAAGTCGGGGAGCCCGAGCAGGGGCGGTGGCTCGTCGTTTATCACAACCCCTCAGTCTTCTGCGAACCTCATCGGCACCGCAGGTTGCTTCGGCTGCGATGAGGCCTCACAAATACAGGTGCCATCCCTCACCTCTGTAGAGGAGGGCTCGCGGGTGCCGTCGGACAGCCCACCCCCGCCTTGTTACACCCCCAATGTCATCTGCTCGGAATATTTAGACTCCCGTCCGGATGAGGCGACACTCAATGCAGTTCGGCAAAATTATCCTATTATTGTACACGTTATGAAGAACGTGTTTTATCATCCCACAAACCATGCTGGGGGTGTTTTGGACAATAGAAGGGGTCTCGAACCGTCGCCCTGCACGTCTCCTCCATTTCTTGCCCTTAGCAGCCCTGCGTCTGCTCCTCAAGGATATGACCTAAAGGAGCATCAAGCTATACACAGCAAGCTTATCGCCCCTCTTGTCGAGTCCACCTGGAGGGAGTACCTGGCTCCGCTGGAGATGCGCATCCAGGAGCTGCTGCTGGTTTTGGACCAAAACGTTCTGCCGGCCTACCAACAATATGAAAAGTCGTCATGTGGTGCGAGTATGGACGCCGATCTTCAGCACGTACTCAAGCTCCAGCAGTCGCTGGGTAACGATTTGGAGTACGTGGTGACCATTCGGGGAATGGATCAGGACTTTTTGTCGCGCAACCACGCGCTTAACAATGGCCGCAACGAAGGGGTGGCCGACCCTGTTGAAGGGGATAAAAAATGCGGTCTCTCGGACTATGTTCCCGTGCATGGGCTTATTTTATCACGTCTACACCGGTTGGAGATGGAGCATCGGTCGGTATTGGAGCTGTGGGCTGGCCAGAGGCCGTGCAGCACGCCGGCGTCAGCGGGGAGCAGCCCCCCTTTTAATACCCCTCATCCTGTGACGAACCAGGGGCCCAGTTCGCCAGCACAAGGATCTCATTATCGTACCTAGACAATGCCCAGTGGTAGTCTAATCTTCTATTCCCATTATATCTTTAGGGAGTTATTTGAAGCTTTTGGGAGTGGGGATGCAGTGAATGTGGTAAAAACTAACAACTCTTCAGGAAATCGAAGTATAAGTCTTGTAACGGGATGTAGTTATTCCGTGATACAATTCTATACCATGTCGATTCCTGTGTTGGGAGGTGCGGTGTCTTACGATATTTGTTTGCTTGTGCGGGTGGTAACATCTTCTTTGCGCTTCGATTACAGTCTTTCATTGTTATCTTGTTGTTTATCTGCACTGCTTTCTTTTTCATTTAGTTTTTATTGGTATTCTATTTTCCTTACTTGTTACCCTCCTTTGCATATTACACGTCAGATTATCTTATCCGTTTCTCACCCTTTGTTGTTTGTTTTGCCAAACTCGCATATACATTCATAAAGGTATCATCGTAAGACTCAAGAAGGAAGGGTCCAAGAGGGATGCAAGAGATATCAGCATGTTTCTATTAACTTCTTCTTGTTTGGTTAATGTGCGTCGAACCATCAGTGGGAGAAGCAGCTGGGCTCTTCCGGACATTCGGCGGCAGGGACAACAAGGCCCGGCACTTAGTCGCCTTCAAGCCCTCGCAAAGATTCCTGTGCTGCAAGACTCGGCTAAGCATCGTCAAGGTCGCAGCTTTGCCGCTGGCGAACAGGCAGCTCTCTTTTCTCGGCCTGGTATGAGGCTTGCACGGGAGTTCGACACTCGAGCTAGATCTCATTATAAACGCAAAAAGGAAATGAGGGTAAATATTCAGGCATTTCGAAAATTCTATAATGATTCCTAAGGAGTCAGAGAAGGAAGGGAGCGCAGTTAGTCCATCTTTTTCTAGTAGGAGCGGACGATTTTAGAACTTTACGCATATCAGTTGGTAACGTTCATTTTTTTTTTGGTATGTCCAATCCCCCTTTTACCTTCTGAAATAACTCCTTATCATTGCAATTGAAGCTGTTGATCTCAAAGAAGTAGTGGGTCGTGCTGATAGATCCATTCATTATTCTTAATCCAACCCAAATTTTATTTCTTCCTATTATTATCACTATCACTAAAACCCATATATGACGAATTACTAAATCAAGTTTCCTAGTAACTATCATCATTCAACACATACGAAGTGCTTAAAATATCCTTAAACGCAATCCGAGCACACCATAAGTATGTTTGGTAGGTCAATTTCCTCAGTATGCCGCGCACTGATCTCAGGCGCAAGCCCAGTGCTGCAGCACCAACGCCGCTTCATCGTCGTCTTCAGCCAGCAACACCATATTCTTGAAAGCAACCAGAAGGCGCGCGGAAGCCCCAGCAATGTGTGGGTCGAGGATTGGGAAGCGGAGCGGATGGGACTCAAGCCGGAGGATGGTGCGATGCCGACCCAGCTCCTTATCGATAAGCAGCTTGAGCTTTATAACTTTGACCAGCTCATCTCGCGAATTGAGGTAATGGAGGCTCCAAAACACAGTAGCTACTACAGTCGAAAGATGTATGGCGATAGGCTTCAATTTGAGCTTAACGACCGCGCGCAAAAGTACAACTTCCAGAGCAAGTGGTGGATCACGCGCTCTCAGGCCTACAAGGAGAACTTGCAGTTCAAGAACAACGCCCGGGCGAGTATCATCCTGACAAAAGGACAGGTTAAGTTATTCCACACCAGCCAACTGGTCGGCGGAGAGGCCCTGCAGACCCACCCAGTCAGCGGTAGCAGCCGGAAACTATACAAGAAGCGCGGTGAGTCCTACAACGTGCTTCGTGATCACATCAAAAGTAATGAGTTTAACAGCGGACTCTACTTTACCCGCCGCCAACTGGATTTCTTCAAACTTGCGGTTCAGCCCAACCAGGTCCCTGTTACGCAGGACGTCGCCTCCGGTGAGCGTTACCTTATCTACAACGTGGACCAGCTCGAGGATCCGAACGTTGCACTGAAGACCTTGCAGCGGTCTCCGGTGAGCGTGCCGACTTTCTTGCTATCAGGGGAGCCGATCCAGCACGAGAACACGAAGAAATTACCCAAAACGTTTAGGAGTAATTACTGGCTGACGGGGCGCGACGCGGAGCTGTATCAGTGGCCCATCAAGGAGTCCGAGAAGCGGAAGGGGGTGCCCTTCAACACCGGCAGCGCGGCCTCGCTCCAGATCGAGCTCTACAACGTTGAGCAGCTCGCCAACCCGGAGGAGGCCTTCGCCAAGGCGGGGCTATTCGTCCAGTAGCTGCACGAGTGCACGCGTCGTACCGGACCCATCATCTTTACTTACTTTCCTTAAACGACGAACCCCATCCCCTCCCCCCTCTCCCTCACACTAAAAAAAAAGCGCGGATATGAAAGAGTCTAAGAAGGAAAAAGTGAAGAATATAAGTGAGGCGGGAATGCTCGATCGCATAACGGGCAGAATGAAGTAAAGGATCAAATTGAGTTAATCGAAGAAGCGGAGAAGAAATTGACTAAGTAGTGATGCAACATAGATATTTATATAAATATTTTTTTATTTTCGTTTTAATTGCCATCTATACAGTTTCTGATGCTCTTTAACTCACTTTTCTTCCTCAAAGGTGGCGATTTAGTTGCCTACCTTCTGTTGTTACTAGCATGTGTATGTTGCATTGTTTATCATTGGTGAGAGATTCCCCTCCCTCTCCCCCCCCCCCCCCTAAAAAAAAAGGAATCTCGAATATCCCGAGCTATCTCACTTTTTAAGGAAAAATATTTAAGCAAGTCCTGAAGCCTACAAAAGGCACTTTTTGTTGGGGGGAAGGAGGTTTCTCATTTTCTTTGGTCGCCGCGGAGTCGAAATGACTCTTTTAAAAAAAAATTGGTGTCATAAAAAGCGTTAAGAAAAACTACATGGACTTAGTACATACTATCCAAGCCTTAGACAACGCTGTTAATAGAGCTGTTCAAAAGAAGATTATCTCTCTATGAGGGATCTCCGTGTGTTGTCTTACATTCTATAGATATTAAAATAATCATGAGAAATACTAACGGCGAAGTCAAAACAGTGGCGAATAGGCACGAGGTTATCGGGTGAGAAAGTTTCTGAACTATGTTCTTTCACCCTTTTTACCTTGCCATTCTCTGCTACTAATATATTAAGAATTCCAAATAAATGATGCCAGTTTATTTCGATTCTTTTTTCTGTCCGCAATGTTTTTGCCCTTTAGACTAACTAACCCTTGAGTATATAGACACGTCATAGGGTTCTTTTTTCTTTCTAAACTCCAGAATCCCATCTTGCCAAAGGTGGAGGTGCGTTATTAAAGCGTTTTACGTCTTTATTGCGTTGCTGTGCCTTTTGCTAAACCTTTCATCACACAAAATCGCAATGCTTCGTGTGTGTTGCAAACGTTACGTTGTGTTCACGCAAGGCATCCCACACCTCCGTACATTTGCGGATCACTTTTTCCTAAAAACCCATCCTCTCCGCTCGAGCAACGTATGGCTTGACGAGAAAGACTTTGAAATAAATCAAAAGTGTGCCTTCCTTCTGGGAAAGCCTGATCCGCTGCGCATCAATCCGATGAGTCATCATCCTGAACGCTCGCCGTACGCGAAGATGAGGAGAAAACCAAAACACCATAAGACCACCACCCCTGTTTCATCACCTTTATCACTCCCCTTATCAACGACCCAGGCGAATGCCGACGCGATGACAGGCAGCCATGCCGAGAGTAGTGTGAACAGCAGAACGACGTCAAAATCCGTGGAGTGGGAGTACAAGGTGCCGATCTGTAGCAGCTATCTTTACCGTCATCTTTTCTTGTACAACCTGGAACAGATGGTGCTCTTACGCGACCCCGATTCATCCCCTTCTCCTATGTGTTTCAGCTCCTTGCCGCCGTCGCGCAGTACGGCGGCCCACGCATTGCGGGATCGCTTCCCGGAGCCCAAGGGCTCGTCCTCAACAAAGGGGCACTTCTCCATCCACACGCGGCGGGCGTTTTCGGAGTTCCTTCAGCCCCAGCTGCAGCAGTTGCAGCATACCCACCAGTACGACTCTCGGTGGTGGGGTACGGTGATGCAGTGGAAACGACTGGAGGTGATGCCCCGGCCTTTGCAGCAGCCGCATATTGTATTCATAAAATTATACTCAAAGCTTGTCCATATCTCGTTAATTGACAACGCCGAGGAAATTCTGATGCACTCTTATATTTCTGGTAAGAGTGGTGTGTTTCATTGTTTAAACCTTGGTTCAGATCTAGACGATAACCCCAATCATGCGCATCACACCCCTTCACTCGCTAAAACGCAAGGTGGCATGTCTGTGGGTCACAGAGATCCTGAGATGGAGGGGATCGGTCCGATGGGGCCCTCCATCTCGGGTACTACTAGGAACATAGCAAAGGCCGACATTTTTTTTCCTTTTATGACCAATAATCGGGCCTTCGCCTTTAATATTATCCAAGATATGAAATTGCATCAGTATACAGTTCCTTTGTACTTTAGCGCGATTCAGCTGCGGCAATACAAATTATCCTTGCGGTGTGATGCCTCCGGCATCTCCTTCCAGGAGCTGAGTACTTCGCTACCCCCTTCCCTGAAGCACGTGGACGAGGCTCAGGAGGAGGACCCATCCTATGAGGGCTCCCCGTCAGTCGCGCCTCTGAAGCGTTACTTCTACCATCTTTCCCAGGTCAGCTTCCCGGAGTCCTTTAGGATACCACCGCACGTCATCGCCGCCGAGCTGGAGCACACGGCGGGGCAGCCTTTGCACGGAATCTCTGGGGCCCCGCTGCCATACGTGAGGCTGCTTGAGGAGAATTTGCTGCTGCAAAATCCAAACCTCGCTGCGGTGCTCCGTGCGCCCTGTCATGGGGGTCGTGGGGAGACCGACAGCAGCCCGTGCCTTGACGCCCAGACGACAGCGAAGGACTCCGTGCGGGAGCTTTCGGATGACGCACTCAAGGCACTTCTGGAAGGGCGCGCCTCACCTGCCGTACACAACGGGCGCAGTCTGTGGTTTTCGGCCGAAGATATACTTCAACATGGTGGGATTGTGGATGTGAATGCGACCCCCGTTGAAGTGAGTGGCCATGATACCTTTGACTATACTCGTGGGAATATCCACAATTCTGCTGGGGAAGGAGGGTTGAGTTTTGATACGGTGTGTAAGAATAACGCCAATTTGAAGCATAAGCTGTTTAACGTAGATTGCTTAGTGAACCCAAATGAGGGGTATCGGATCATAAACCAGCGGGTACCCTCATGAGGGGTTGCTGAGTGGTGTTTTGATGTGGAAAAACAGTGAAGACAGCGTAGAGTGTACTTGAGGGGGGAGGGAGATGGGGCAACATCTTGCTCCCTTGACATTATCTACCACTCGCACACACTCTATTTATGCATAGACATACACGGCGGCCATGCGCCTTATTCTACAGGAGGCGTCATAAAGATTAGATTCACATATGTTTGAACAAATGACATACCTTACTTTGAGATAAGGTATCGAAGCGCACAAGATAATAATCCTTTGTTATCCTTTCGAAATTCTGTAGTTTCGTTATCTGCTATTATTCTTTTTTGAAGATACCTGGTGTCGTTTTGAAATGAATTGTTGAAGAGGCAGAGTGGGGAAATGATAGCACCTATAAGAGGTGCCTTCTCTTTGCCTTTTCCGTACTTTTAACACTCCACTTTCTCTTACTCCTCCCTTCCCCCTATTATGCATATATGATGTGTTTTTTCATTCTTTCTGAGCTGAACGTTCCTTTTGAGATCTTTATTACATGGAAATATCAGAGCCCATCCAAGAGGTTCAAGGAGCCATAAAGAAGTAAGGTAAATACCCTAAGGGGGAAACAAGGGGGCACACATATATAGCGATGATACACTGTAGAGGAGGTCTACGCCCACTTAGGGTGGCGCGAAACGCGGGAGGCGTATCCTTAGTTCATTTGCCAGGCTCGCGTTGGTTTAGCGGTGGATGTAATCCGAACCGGATTGTGATTCCCCGCGTCGTGGATCAGGGGGACCATTCCCAGAGCGCGGAATGGAAGGCTGACATGGATACCGAGTACGCGTGCAGTAAGCACATACATGTGCATACCGCGTCTTTTCTGAGCCGCGACGGCGCGGAGAGTCTCCAGCGGCAGCGACAGCTCGCGGCGTTCGGCGAGGCGACCAGGAGGGAGGTCGAGCAGGTTTGGAAGGACTCGAAGCCGCATCTGAGAAAGCAGGAGAAGCTGATCCGGGAGCTCGGCGTTGAAGGGGCCGTTCGGGAGACCTTAGCCCCAAGCCGAACTAGCTTCCGCGCGGACCTGCGCCAACGCCCGCTGGATCGCGGCATCCTCGAGGAGATCTACCGCGGCCTCCACGGGCGTCGGATTGAGCGGAAACTCCGGCGCGGCGTCTCGTGGGAGCACTGGATCACCAAAGGCGACGGCACCGCGCCGGTGTACACCACCTCGCGCAAGGCTCAGCAGACCTTCGCCTTTGGTGGGCACATCGAGCTGCTCGCCGCGGCGACGCACCCGCGGCAGTTTCCTGCCATCCCGTCGCCCGGCGTGGCGGCGGCCTCGTCGGGGAAAAAGGGCCGCCGCGACGCCGCGTCCCTCCTCCCGGAGGTCGCCTTTATCGGCCGCACCAACGCGGGGAAGTCGTCGCTGGTGAACGCGATCGTGAACGCGATGATCACACCGTACGGCCACCTCCAGGGGACCACCGACG